ACACAGCCCTGACCTAAGAGGCTAGGGTCTGCACCTGTTTCCCCCTATTAGATAGGGGAGTTGTTGTCCCCTTTTTTAAGCTGAGGCATATAAGGACGACTGGGAAGGAGAGCCAAAGGACAGGGGGGGAAGCTGGGGAACAGGGATGGGTTGGTGAGGGCCAGGTGGGGGCAGAGCCCCCGGGCCCTTGCCGGTTGCCTAGACCACCATTTTCTTCACCTTGTTGTCATCAGCCTGGGAAGAAGGGAATACGGGCTGTTTCCAATGGTGATGACTTCCTGGGGGTTCTGCATTTCTTGAAGCAGCTGAATGATCTGCTGCACAGAGGTGTTCTCGAGGGGAGTCAGGCCCAGCTGGGCCTTGCCCTGGGTTGGCTGCACGTCGTGGACGAGGCTCACCTCACTCCGTGCTTTAGAGAAACAGAGACAGGATGCTGTGTGCCTGGCGCAGTGTGCTCCTCCTGCCTAGATGCCCGTGCGGGGCTTTCCTCACCTTGGCTGCTGGCAGCGCCAAGCTCCTTGGGGGCTAGGCATGTGCTAGTGGGCTCACCAGCAGGTTTCTGGGCAGGGGCTCAGAGCTTCACCCGCCATTCGTTGTGCACCTCCACCAGCCACAAAACCAGTTCTTGCAGCTCTAACAGCTTCACCTGGAAGCAGAGATATTCAGAAGCCCGCCCCACGCCCAGCTGCACCACCATGGAGCCAGAGCTCTGACTACCTTCATCTCCTCTTTGTCCTGGGCCAGCTGGCTTATGGACTCCTCCTTCTCTCGGTGCTCCTTCCTCATCACTGCTTTCTGGGTCTGGTAGAGAGCGATGTATTGTCCTAGGGGGAGGGTGTGTAAACAGCTCAGCTGCTGGGGTCTCCCCAGCCTCTGCATAACACCCCAGCTGCGGGGCACAGGCCTCCCCCCTCACCGATGGTGTCAGTCTCTCCAGACATCTGGATACATCGATGCTTCAGCTCCTCCATCCAGTCCTGTAAGTCCACTTCTCCTGAATGAGCTTGGTAAAGTGACCCTGCAGCCAGACAGTGGGCTCAGGGGCTCAGCAGTGCCGGCTGCCCAGCACCAGCCCGCCCAGCCCTCCGAGAACCACTGTAGGGTAAGAAAAACTATCAGGCTTTTCTGCCCTCCCGCCATTTGCATAGAAGACGGAACCCTGCGGTCTGAATGCATGCCTGATGCGGGCACCTGGAGTAGGGTGTGGGCATAGGTAGATGGGATTCACCTGGGCTAAGATGGGCTTTTAAGGGTGGCGTCACGGGGACGCCATCAGAAGCAGAGAAGCAGAAGCAGAACCGAGACAGCAGAGCAGCAGAGACCACCAGAGAACACCAGAGAACACCGGAGAGCCCAGAAAGAGTGAAGACTTGCTGGGGCTGGGAGGCCTGTCAGCCTCCTGGCCCCCCAGCACCCTTACTTGCCATGTACCTGGTAAATCCCAATAAAAGCCTGCAAAAGTCACTGAGGCTTCCAGGACTCTATTCTCCTGGACCCGGTCTGCTGGATCAGAAAACCTGCCCCGTGTCCATTCCTTTCTGCCTTACAATTGGCGTAAGTCGGCAAGGTGCTCCATGCAGACGGTATGGAGCCCTCCGAAGACCGGGAGGGACTGAGGAGCAGCAGACAGTGTTTGCCTGTGACAGCGCTGGACGTGTCATGGCGGCACAGGGGAATGGAAAAGTCCGGAAGCTGCGGGATGAGACCTCGCCTGGAGGAGGAGACGCCCGAGAGGACTACCCAGTGATCCCCAAGGCAGCAAGAATCGTCAGGGAAGTAAGGACCACGATTCAGAGCTCCCCAGTGTGGACAAAGGGAAAAGCCGATGAACTTGAACTAATGGACTAACAATCCCGCCAGAAGGCGGAGGACCTTGGCAAGTTTGATATGTTTTGGGGGCCCTGGGGGAGGATGGGATTGTACACCCCGGAGATGGGAATCTGGGGGTGGCCAGTGGGCCTTGGTGGCCAAAAGCAGCCAGTGTATTGCCCAGCAGCCAGGCAGAGGAGAAAAAGCCAACTGAGAAGGCAAAAAGCTGGTGCTAAGTTCGGGAAGCCCTGAGTGGCTATTAAGCACTGTGTAAGCTAAAGAAGGCCAGTGAGTCTCTTAAAATCACCTGTGGGTGTTGCCCTGTTCATTGCTGAGTGAGGGTGAGGAGCTGAGGAGCCCATCTTTGGGGGACGGGCGGGGAACGTGGCTTGTGGTGGAGCCCACAGCCAAAGAGGGTCCCAAGAGAGGCCGCATGTGGCACTTGCATCCACGGATCCCCGACCCATGTGCTTGTGCAGTGGGCTGGCCTGAGTGCAGGGGCCTGCGTGTCGCATTGGTGGCTATGAAAGCCGAGTGCTGGAGTGACTGCAGACAGAAACCCCGAGGGTTGGCGATTACCCCCATAGAGTACAGAATCGCCAACCCAAGAGTGAGTGCATCCTGGGGGTGGATGCGGTGTGTGGCTTGTGGCCGAGACCCCAGCTGGAGTGACGGCAGATGCCTGAGTGGTTCCCTCTCTCGCATGAGCAGTGCCTTCGGCAGCTGAAGTGGTGGATCACGTACTGGTGCCAATAGTCTTTTGCTCCTAGGTCGGTGCCCTGCCTGGACTTATTTGTGTTCTGTTATATTACATTGTGATATATTTCATTTGCTTTTGTGGGCCATGGCTACAGTGTTCCTATTCGTCAAGAGAAACGTGTATATAACTCGTATAGACTGTCTGGCAGGTAAAAATATCAGGCTTTTCTGCCCTCCCGCCATTAGGATGGATGACGGAACCCTGTGGTCCCGAAGGCATGCCTGATACGGGCACCTGGAGTAGGGTGTGGGTATAGGTAGATGGGATTCACCTGGGCTAAGACTGGGCTTTTATTTATTTATTTATTTTTTAAATGAACTTTGTGAAGTCAGTCTCTCTCTCTCTTTTAAAGATTTATTTATTTATTCATACAAACACTGGGTACAGTCAGAAGCGTGGGAGGGTGAGAGAATTCACCAGAGCCAGAGCAGGGAGCAGAGCAGGCAGAAGGACCGAAGTACACTGCTGAGGGGAGCAGCGGGCGGCAGGAGAGGTCTGTGCGCCATGCGGGACCCTCCTCCGGTGGCCCGAGAGTAGCTGTGGATCGAACCGGCGGTGGAGGCTGCGGGCAGCTTCACAACCCAGTGCTCAACCGCTGCGCCACTGGGGAGGCCCAAGACTGGGCTTTTAATGGCAGCGTCACGGGGACGCCAGCAGCAGCAGAGAAGCAGAAGCAGAACCGAGAGAGCAGAGCAGCAGAGACCACCAGAGACCACCGGAGAGCCCAGAAAGAGTGAAGACTTGCTGGGGGCTGGGAGGCCTGTCTGCCTCCTGACCCCCAGCACCCCTGCCTGCCATGTACCCGGTAAATCCCAATAAAAGCCTGCAAAAGTCACTGAGGCTTCCAGGACTCACTTCTCCTTTACCCGGTCTGCTGGATCAGAAAACCTGCCCTGTGGCCATTCCTTCCTGCCTCACACACACTCACCTGCAGTTTCTCCATGGCTCCCTGAAGGGCCTGGTGGGTCTCCCCAGGCACACTCTCCCCCCAGGTGGCGGGGGCTGGGGCCTCCATCTTCTCAGGCTCCTGGTCCCATGGGGCTGTCTGCTGAGCCAGGAACTGGCAGAGCAGCTTTTGCTCCTTGAGCTGCCTGCGTAGCTGCTCCGCTCTTCCTCAGCACTGGCCAAGGCCGAGTTACAAAATGCCATTTGTGGGCCAGAGGAGCAGGGTATCCCTGAGGGTCGGGCAGGGGGCTGGGAGGCACACCTCTCAGGGCCTCCATGGGCACAGCTGAGATTCGAGGATGGTGTTGGTGTCTGCCCACTGGTCCCCAGCAGAGGTGGGGGGAAGCTTAATCAAAGGGAGGGAAACCAAAGAGAAGGGTGGGAGGGGGAATTTGGGGCAGGGAAGGGGCTCTGGGGCCGAGCTCACCATGGCCTCGCGGCTGTCTAGGTCGTCAGGGATGCTTAGCTTTGGCAGTGGACCCTTGTTCTCCTCTTCCTCCTTCTCCTCACTGCTCAGTCCATTTACTGTTGGGGGGCAGCCAGAGCAGCAGAGAAGCAGAAGCAGAAGCCAGAGGGGCTCAAAGAACACCTGGGTTCTGAAGCAGCCCTGAAAGCCAGCAACCTCTGCCCCCTCCTCTCTGTGCAACCCTGTGCCAGCAAGTCCCCAAAGGAGAAGGATCCAAGTTGTCCTAAGGGTGGCTTCCACTCTTGCAAACCCCTCCTCTGCTGGAGTCCCACTCACTTTCTCCAGTCCGAGCCAGGAGGTTCAGTGGGGCCGGCAGGAAAGAGTGAGAAGGGATGCTGCTCGCAGTTCTTCCTGCTCCCGCGGCCACAGGGTGTCTGGCACTCCAACTGCCCCACCTGTGTTTCCAGCAGCTCTTGGTTGGCCAACACGACCTCCATCTTGCCCTGCTCTTCTTCGTGCTGCATCCAGTTGCCAAGCTGGGTGTTAAGCAGCACCGGCTTCTGCAGGACGTCCTTCTCGTTGGCCAGCTGCTGGTAGGCGGCCATGTACTGCTGAAGGTGACTAAGGTAGTGGTCCCGCTGCTGCTGCAGCTCCTGAGCGTCTTGATATTTCTCCTCCACCTGCAGGACGCGGGGGGGTGAGGGCAGGTGGCAGTTGGCCTCCAAATTGTCACTGGAACCCAGCTGCCTCTGCTAGACGCTACCTCAGGGAGACCAGTAGTGACCATCACTACTGACCAGTGCTGCTCAGCACTCCTGGTGACAGGGGATTGGAACCCTACTTGTACTTCTGGTGAACAGTACCTGGCTGAGGTAGACACCACTTGTGGCTACAGTAAGCTCCGTTTCCCGTTTGTAAAATAAACCCCAAGGTGGTTGTTTACAGAGGCTGAAGTCTCTTGCAATTGTGCACACGGTTGAGAACCACAGTGATGAGTCCCCTACCGGGCACTATCCTTCCATTGGCTCTAACCTGTAGGCCCCTATCGTATGGGGTCTGTATTGCTCCAGCCTTTGGTTTTGACTTTGGGGCTTTTTGGCAGCTCTCTTGTCTTAGAGCCTGGGCAGGTGGGTGCCACCGTGGCCTATCCTGGCATCCCATTCATGCCCTGTGACTACCCTTTTCTGTTGGGATCCCAGCTGATGTCAGAGACACAAAGTGTTAAAACTTTCTTTGTGAGTTGCTGGACAACACCAACAACAAACAGCTCTTTCAGACACGCGGCTCGGAGCCTTTGGTGCTCCTTTCTGGTGATGTCAGATACAGGACTGTAGGCCCAGTCTCTGACAGAGGTCTTCATCCTCTCTTCCTCCCACAGAGGTTGGCTACTGGATGCTGCTTTTCTTCTTTCAGCTTCTGGCCCTCCTTTCTTCAGAGGCCAGGAACAGAGTCTTCCCCTTCTTTCTTTGGAGGTTGGAACGGAGCCCCTCAGCTCCCTCTAACCCTGGCTTATATCACTCTTCAGGGTGTCCCAACATCAAGTCTGAATGGACCATTTTTCTTTTTTTGTGCAGAAGAACTGGGGTATTGGCCAGAGGTGTAGAGTGAGCAGAACAGACAGACTGACTGAAACACACCAGGGAGGGGAGCAGCTGGCAAGGCAGGAGAGGTCTGCTGTGCCCTGTGGGTCAGATCCCAGCCAGGGATCAAACTCAAGCAGTAGTGATGATGGGTGGCGAGACTTAACCCCTAGGCCACCAGGGAGGCCCTGGACCATTTTCAGCCTTGGCTGACTGGACCACTTAGCACCAATCAGCTCATAGCTTCCACCTGATTGGTCCTGCCATAACCCAGGAAGTGTGCAGAAAAGGGCAGTTCTGAGGAGCAACTGCCTCAACAGACTTGTGGTGGAGTAACAGAGTGGAGACCACCGAGGCAACTCCCAGATCTGCACCCACAAATGGGGGGGGGCAGGCACTGTGGGACTTTGCCACCTGCCCAGGCCCCTTCCTTCAACTGCAGCAGAACTGCTTTCCAGTGCTCTCTGAAGTGAAGGATGCTGAGGCTCAACCCTGTTCAGTGAAGCACAACCCCGGAGCCATGTCTGGAACCAGGATGTCTCCACGTCTCCTCGTCTCTCCCCTAGTGGCTCAACCTCCAGCAGGGCAGGTGACCTGCAGTCCCGGGGAACCCACAACTCCATTTCAGACCCTGGGCACAGGTGGTCACGGACCTGGCAGGACTGCAGGGTCACCAGTGCCCCCCAGCCCTGAGTTGGAGCTACCTATGTCCTGGCCTAAGGACCTTCCTCCCGGAGGCCTCCGAGCCCTTCCCAGCTGGCACAGGACTTACCATCTCCTTCAGCTCTGCCAGCTTCTCCTGCAGCTGGCTGAGTTTTGAGGCCAGCTCCAGCCTCCAGACCTTTCAGAGCCAACTGCTCCCTCAGTTGCCACATCCCACCTTGCCACCTAGCAAAGTGTCTGCTGCCAAGGGTCCATGGGAGATGGGTAAGTGTCCAGTTGATCTGCTTCCCCCCATCCCTTCAGTTTGAGTCTCCACAGAATTTCCTTCCCCAAGGCACCTGTGCACCATCACCACAGTCCCCTGTGCACCTCCCTCCTTCCCTCTGATGCCTCTTCCTTCTTCTCTCCTGCAGTATGTCTCTGATTTATAATTGTCTGTTTTTGTTTTGTTGTCCTTTGTATTGCTATTATTTTTTTTACACTGATGTCTTATTAGGCTCCCCTATATTCCTGTTATAAGTAAAATCATCCTATATTTTTCTTTTTCCTTCTGTCTTATTTCACTGAGCATAATTCCTTCTAGCTCCATCCACATTGCTGCAAATGGCATGAGTTTATCTTTTTTTGATTGCTGAATAATATTCCATTTTATATATATACCACATCTTCTTGATCCAGTCATCTGTTTTTGGGCATTTGGGTTGTTTCTGGTTTTACCCATTGTAAATAGTGCTGCAATAAACATAGGCGTACAGGTGTTCTTTTGAATCAATGTTTTTGTTTCCTTTGGGTAGATTCCCTGGTAGTGGAATTTCCGGGTTGTATGGTAGCTCCATTTTTAGTAGACTGAGGAAGCTCCAGACAGCTTTCCATAGTGGCTGGACCAGTTTGCACTCCCACCAGCAGTGTAGGAGAGTTCCTTTTTCACCACATCCTCGCCAACAGATGTTGTTGCTTGTTTTTTGATATGTGCCATTCTTACTGGTGTAAGGTGGTATCTCAGTGTGGTTTTGATTTGCATTTCCCTGATTATAAGGGATGTTGAACATTTTTTCATGTGCCTGTTGGCCATTTGCATTTCCTCTTTGCAGAAATGTCTTTTAAGTTCTTCAGCCTGTTTCTTGACCGGATTGTTTATTTTGTTTTTGTTGAGCCGGGTCAGTTCTTTGTATAAATTTGTGATCAGTCCCTTATCAGTTGAATGGAGTGCAAAGATGTTTTCCCAATCACTGGGGTGTCTCCCTATTTTGGTTAATGTCTCTTTGGCTGTACAGAAGCTTTTCAGTTTGATGTAATCCCAGGTGTTTATCTTTGTCTTCACTATCACTGCTTTGAGTGATGTCTTTAAAGATATTTCTGAGATATATGTCTTGCAGTGTTTTACCTATATTTTCTTCTATATATTTTATGATTTCAGATCTTATGTCCAGTTCTTTTATCCATTTTGAGTTGATTTTTGTGCAGAGTGAGAGGTAGTGTTTTAGTTTCATTTTTTTACATGTGGAGGTCCAGTTTTCCCAGCACCGTTTATTGAACAAACTGTCCGTGTTCCATTGCATATTCTTTACTCCTTTGTCAAAGATTAGTTGTTCATTAAAGTATGGCTTTATTTCTGGGCTCTCTATTCGGTTCCATTGGTCTGTGTGTCTGTTTTTGTTCCAATACCAAACTGTTTTAATTATTATGGCTTTGTAGTATAGCTTGAAGTTTGGAAGGGCGATACCTCCTTTCTCCTTTGTTTTCATCAGTAGGGCTTTGGCTATTTGAGGTTTTTTGTGGTTCCATATAAATTTCATCAGTATTTGTTCTATTTCTTTGAAGAATGTCATTGAGATTTTTGTTGGAATAGCATGGAATCTTTATATTGCTTTTGGGAGGATGGCCATTTTAATAATGTTATTTCTTCTAATCCATGAGCAGAGACTGTCTTTCCATTTCTTTGTGTCCTCTTCAATTTCTTTTAACAGTGTTTTATAATTTTCTTTGTATAGGTCTTTCACCTCTTTTGTTAGGTTTATTCCCAAGTATTTGATTTTTTTTTGTTTCAATTATAAAAGGGATGGTGTTCTTGATTTCTCCTCCAGATTGATTGTTTATAGGAAGGCTACTGATGCTTCTGTGTTGATTTTGTATCCTGCTACTTTACTGAACTGGTTGATTATTTTGAGTAGTTTTTCTGTGGAGTTTTTAGGATTCTCTATGTATGTTATCATATTGTCTGCAAATAGTGATAGTTTTACTTCTTCTTTCCCTATTTGAATTCCTTGTATGTCTTTCTCTTGTCTTATTGCCCTGGCTAGGACCTCCAGTATTATATTGAAGAGCAGTGGTGAGAGAGGACATCCTTGTCTTGTTTCTGATCTTAAAGGAAAGGCCTCCAGCTTTTCGCCATTGTGAATAATATTGACAGTTTGTTTGTTGTATATGGCTTTTATCATGTTAAGGTATGTTCCTTCTATCCCGAGAATTTCAAGGGCCTTCATCATAAATGGATGTTGGACTTTGTCAAATGCTTTCTCAGCATCTATTGATATGATCATATGGGTTTTCTTTTTCTTTTTCTTGATGTGTTGGATTACACTTACCAATTTTCATATGTTGAACCATCCTTGTGTCCCTGGGATGAATCCCACTTGATTGTGGGGTATTATTTCTTTGATGTATTGTTGGATTCTGTTGGCAAGGATTTTCTTTTTTGTGCTATCTTTGTTTGGTTTTGGTATTATTGTAATGTTGGCTTTGCAGAACGTATTTGGTAGTATTCCTTCTTTTTCAATTTCTTGAAAGAGTTTGTGTAAGATAGGTACTAATTCACTGCTTATTTTTTGGTGGAATTCATTTGTGAAACCATCTGGGCCTGGGTTTTTGTTTTGGGGGAGTGCTTTGATCACTGCCTCAATTTCACTGCTTGTAATTGGTCTGTTTAGTTGTTCTATTTCTTCTTTGTCCAGCTTTGGATGATTATATCATTCAAGGAATTTGTCCATCTCTTCTAGGTTGTTGAATTTGTTTGCATGTAAGTGTTCACTGTAATCTCTGATTACTCTTTTGATTTCTACTGAGTCTGTTGAGATTTCTCCTATTTCATTTATAATCATATTTATATGTGTTTCTCCCATTTTTTCTTTGTGAGCCTGGCTAGAGGTTTGTCTATTTTGTTTATTTTTGCAAATAACCAACTTTAGGTTTCATTGATCTTTTGGATATTTTTTTTTAAATTTCCAATTTGCTTATTTCTGCTTTGATTTTTATTATTTCCTTTCTTCTACTGGCTTTAGGGTTTTTTTTTTGTTGTTCTTTTTCTAGCTCTTTAAGATGTGAGATTAGGTTGTTTCTTTGAATTCTTTCTTGTTTCTTGATGTGAGCTGGATTGCTTTATATTTTCCTCTTATTACTGCTTTTGCTGCATTCCATACATTCTGAAAAGTGATGTCCTCCTTGTCGTTCAACTCAAAGTATTTTTTTAATTTCTTCTTTGATCCCCTCATTAGTCCAGTGGTCTTCCAATAGTATGGATTTCAATCTCCATGAAGTGGGAATGTTCCTTGTTTTCTTTTCATGATTTATTTCTAGCTTGATGTCTTTATGATCAGAGAAGATAGTTGGAATGATTTTGATCTTTGTGTATCTGTAGATGTTTGTCTTGTGGCCCAGTATGTGATCAATTCTGGAGAATGTTCCATGCACACTTGAGAAAATTGTGTACTCAGATTTCTTTGGGTGCAGTGTCCTATAAGTGTCTGTCAAGTCCATGAGTTCTATGTCTTTATTTAGGGTTATAGTCTTTGTTTTTGTCTCATCGATCTGTCCATTGGTGAGAGTGGGGTGTTGAAGTATCCCATTGTATATGTATTTTCTTTCATGTCTGTTTTCAGAACTGATAATTATTGTCTAATATATTTTGGTGCCCCTTCATTTGGTGAGTACATTTCAATGAGTGTTATATCTTTCTGGTGTATTATCCCCTTGATCATAATTTAGTGTCCGTCTATGCATCTTTTTACCTTTTTTAATTTGAAGTCAATTTCAACTGATATAAGTATGGCTGTTCCTGCCTTCTTTTTTGGTCCATTTGCTTGTAGGATTGTTTTCCAACCTTTTACTTTCAGTCTATGTTTATCTTTTGTGGTTAAAATGTGTTTCCTGGAGACAGCAAAAGGTTGGATTAATTTTTTTAATCCAGCCTGCTACTCTGTCTTTTTATTGATGAGTTTAATCCATTTACATTTAGAGTTAATATTGATATGTTGGCATCTGTATTTGCCATTTTGTTTGTCTTTTTTTGTGATTTTATTTCTTGGTTTGTTCTGTTCTTGTTCATTCCTCTGTTGGTTGTGGCTTTAGGACTTGTAAATTTTTTTGGAGTGGTGGTTTAATTGTAATGAATTTCTGGAGTTTCTGTTTGTCTGAGAAGGCCCATATCTTTTCTTTGTAGAGGAAGGAGAGCTTTGCAGGGTAAAGTATTCTTGGTTGGCATTTGCTGTGTTGAAGTTTGCTGAATATGTTACTCTATTCTCTTCTTGTCCGTAATGTTTCTTTGGGGAATTCTGAAGGTAACCTGATTGGTTTTCCCTTTAAAGTTATCTTTTTCTTCCCCTTGCCTGTTTTATTTTTTCCTTGTCTTGGACTCTTGCAAGCTTTACTATTTGGTGTCTTGCTGTAGTTTTCTTTTCATTGTGGTAATTGGTAGTTCTTCTCGCTTCTTGTATGTCTATGTTCGTCTCCTTTTTCATACTAGGGAAATTTTCTTCAATTGTCTCCTTGAATAATTTCTCTGTTCCTTTGTCTCCTCACCTTCTGAAATGCCTATAACTCTTATGTTTCCTCTCTTCATGGAGTCTGATAATTGTCTAAGAGTATCTTCATACTTCTTTATTTGCTCTTCTATCTCTTTTCTTTTGACTCTTTTTATTTCTGTACCTGAGATAGTACTGATCCATTTTTCCATTTCACCAATTCTGTTTTCATTGCTTTTCCCAGAGTTGTTTATCTCCTCTAGTAATCTTTTAATCTCCTGTGTTTCTTTTCTTTCCTTTCTTAAGGTCTCAATTTCATTCTTCAGTGATTATTTGTCTCAAATCATTTTTTCATTTTTGTTTTCTTTCTTTTTGATCATGATGAGCATTAATTCTCTATCTGATAGGCCGAGAAGTTCTTCCATGTCATTGCTGAGCTCTGGTGACTGTATTTCTTTTTGTGGTGTGTCCTTCCCCTGCAGGCTTGCTTGGTTATTTATGTTTTCTTCTCCCTGTTGTTTGCTTTCAATTTAGTTCTATTCATTGGGACATGTGCCACTGGTGTTGGCGAGCATCTCTTTGGAGTGCTCCTTTAGGGGTGTCGGAAACTGTTCACCAGACTGGGATTAGCACTGGTAGACCAAAACTCCACCAGAGTGTTGATGCTGTGTTGCTGGGCACTGTCCCTTACAGTTCCCTCCCTCTGTATTTATTTCGTTCCAACAGGGAATCAGTTAGTTGGTGATTTTGTTCTGGTCATGAGGTGGCACCAGAGACCTGTCCTTGCTGACCTTTGCTTTTTCCCAGTGGTTCTCGGCTGGCCTTAGACTATTTGTAGGTCACCGTGGAATCCTTGTCTTCCTCTGATGGCTCCCGGAGCCGCTAGATCACCTCTGTGGTGATTTCTTCACCGTTCTCCACAGTTCCCATTTGTGGGGTGTGGTGCCTGAAATAGTTCCTCTCTACTCAGTTTCCCACTTGATATGTAGTTTGTTCTTGCTGGGTTTTTTTTTTTTTTTTCCCTCCTTTCCGTTGGTCGGAGAGAGCCTACTCAGTGGGTGGAGGAGGGTAGCAGAGTTCTGACTCTTTCCCTTTTTTTAAAAAAAAAAGAAATAATAAAACTTCTCTTTGGCAGAGACTAAAAGTCTCTGTCTTGTGGGGAAACTCACTGTGTATGTGAATGGGGGAATCTGGTCAAAGTTTTCTCGGACATGACCCAAGAACCCCAACTGTGAACCCAACACCTCTCCAAAATATCACTCCTCACCAATGTCAATGTTATAAAAACAAGCAAAGTCAGAGAAAGAGTCAGCAAGAGGCACATCGAAGAGAACTGGCTCTAACTGAATGAGGCAATTTGGATTATCGAACATAAATGTACATTAGGAAGAAGTAATGAAATTAAGCACAGAGTTTGGTAATTGTGTCAATATTGCTTCATTAGCTGTAAAAAAATACAAAAAAAATTCATGTAAGATGTTAACAAAGTGGAAATGGTGTGGAATAAATAAGAACTGTACTATCTTTGCAACTTTTCAATAAATTTAACAGGTCTGCCATACATCCTTTCAAGGGGGCTCTGGAACAAGGAGCCACAGAGAGTGGCTCAGAGGTGCATTAAAGCCAGTGGGAGCAGCTCCACCTAGGATTTGCGGGCTCAGTGGAGAGTTTGGCTAGGTGGTCTCTGGTCAGACCATTTACCCGTTCTACCTTACCAGAGGGTTGTGGTCGGGAGGGAATGTGTAGTTTCCAGGTGATGCCCAGGGAGGAGACCTGTGGAGTAATCTTTGAGATAAAGGCAGGTCCATTGTCCGACTGGTAATGGTGTCCACCATAGTAAGAAGAGGGTGTTATCTGCGTTAGGGAGTGGAACACCCGTGAGGCCTAGCAGGATGGAGAGTCGAGGATTGGGAGAGGGAGATGAGAGGATCTTTGACAAAGAGAGTAGAAATCTAACAGACAAGAGGGTGATGGAGGGGAGAGAGCCTGGTGAATGAGCAGGTCCTGGAGCCGATGTGGAGAACTAACATGTACAGGTTGGCCCAGTGTGGGTTTCAAGGCCTGTCTAGCGAGATGAGCAGCTGCCGCAAGTGCACGCAGGCAGGGCTGCCATCCTCTTACAGTGGGATCCATTTGTTTAGAGAAATAAACAACTGCTCGCTGGACTGGCCCAGGTTGGCCCAGAACCCCTAGAGCAACCCCCTGTTGCTCATCTGTCAATAACAGGAATGGCTTTCCCGGGTCTGGGAGAGTGAAGGCTTATCTCAGAGAGCTTTTTCTGGATAAAGCAGAGCAAACAGGGTGTAGAAACAAAGAAAAGCATAATCATGATCACTGGGCCTACTATGGGAAGGATCCATGGCAGTAAGGGAGAGCTGGTCCACGTTTGGATGTCCTGGTCCCAGCTTCGGCTGACGAAGTGTCAGTCAGAGGGGCCTTTGCTGGTCAGATGAGCAAGCCCATGAATGTGTTGGAGGGCGGGGGAGACACCTGAGTACACACGATTTCTCACCAAAATCTCTCTCAGACCTTCAACACTTTCTTTTGCTTGCTTTCATTCTAATGCCATTTCATTTTACCCATCCTGCTTTACATTATCTTAAGGCCCTTCAGAATATCCCTCTTCCATACATTTCTTTTTTCAAACACACATACCTCACCTCACTTGCATTTACCAGACTTAGCAAAACCTTAGTTTTATAAGGGAATTGAACACCGTCTAAACAATGATGAAAAAAGGTAGATAGCCACTGTAGCTTTTCATTCCTGTATCCAGTGATTTAATTGGCAGTGAATGTTGTCCAAAGCCTGCATCTGTGAGGTGATATTAATGTTTCCAATTTGGCTAAGGTCACACTGCGGGGTTTGAATCCAGGGAGGAGGAGGGGTGGGTGGCCATCTGGAGAGGATTTTTAAAAGGAGAAATTCCAGCTGGACTGACACTGTGTCAGAATCCCAAGCTGCAAAATCCCTTCTGCACGTACTCCACGACGAGTTGCAGCTTCGGTCCAGGGGACACTGGACACCTAGTTGTGCTCGCTGTGGGACTGAGATTGATCATAGCCTAGGCTTCGTGGAGCAGGAAGATGTGCGGATTTTCCAGCTGAGCAGGTCATGGTGGATTAGGGCTGCTCTGTAAATAACCTCTGCCCACCTTGGAGAGTCCCATTTGGATTCTAATATACTGGTCCCAGAGTCTTTCTTAAGGGGAGCTAGAGAGCCTCTCTATCTGCTCCTTGCAATCTGCACGTATTACTACCTGGACTTAAGCTTTTGCAAGAGCTCCTGCATCCTCTGCACCATCCATGTGCCCAGGAGTGAGCAGCAGGTCTCTCCCACCAAGGGGGCAGAACCTAAGATGGGGGAGAGTGGTCCAGGGTTCCACGCCTCTGGCCCTGGGGCCTCTGGAGGCTCTGCCCACACAGCCCCACACCCCTCTTCTGGTCCTGTACCTGCTCAGCTCTCCCCAACCCCTCCACACCCCACCCCTCACCCGCTCTGCTCCCCTCCAGGTGCTTCACCAGTTTCGTTGCCTGCCTGGTCCTTCACCTGCTCTGCTCCAGGGACATCTGTGCTCCAAGGACATCTGTGCTGCCCAGACTTCTGTGCTGCAGTCCTGTGAGTCTCATGCTACTCCTGGCCCCACTGAGTGGGCCCAGCCCCTGAGCCTCTCCAGAGCCTCAACCTTCCCTGGTGTACTCCTGTTCCCCATGGCCACTGAGTGGTTGTGCTTTGGGGGTGGAGGTCTTCTGCCGGGTATGGCGCTATTTTCAATCTTTGTTGCTCTCCAGTTCCAATGCTGCACAGCAGCAACAAAATTCCAGGATAATTTCTAATACCCTATCTCTGGCCCTGATGATTGCTGAAGGGGCCACTGCACTGAAAGGCCAGCCACGTCTTGGGGGAGGTCTTAGGGGGGTGCTGGAGGGCTGGGGAGCTGGACAGATTGTGTTGGCCCTGCTTTCCTGGTCCCTCTCCAGCTGAGGGCCTGTCTCAGTGGTGCTGCTGTGCTCCCCAGCGTCCTCCAGCTGGAGGACTGACACCGAGGTGCTGCTGTGCTCCCTGGTGTCCTCCTGCTGTGGTCCAACCACAGAGGTGCTGGTGTCCCCCCAGGCGTCCTCCAGCTCTGGGCCTAGCGCGGAGGGTCTGCCCTTTGGGGTGTCCTCTAGCAGGGCGCTAGGACCTGCAGCAGTGGTGTGCTCCTGGGCGTCCTCCAGCTCAGGTGCCTGGCGGAGATGACCCTGTTGCCCGGGGTGGCATCCTTTCCCCTCTTTCGGACTTCCTGCTTTCGCAGGATACCCGGCCTTGGGGTATTCCCCAAAACCTCAGGCTGCAGGAGGTGGGGTGGGGGCATCCTTTCCGCTCTTTTCAACTGGGTACTTTCGCAGGATAACTGGCTTGGGGTATTCCCCAAAACCTCAGGTTGTGGGGGGTGGGAGGGCAGTCCTTGGAATCGGGGTCACCAGGCTCCCGGAAGGTGATGTGCCTCGGCCGCTCCTCCCCCTCTTCTTTGTGGTACTCCTCCCCCTCCTGCTTCCTGGAGCAGAGGATCAGGTAGGTGGCCATGACCTCGTCGTACTTGTTAGTGTCAATGGCCTCCCGAATTTCCTGCCTCTGGTAGCCCAGGCACTCCATAGCTTTGATTATGGCTGAGTCCTGGGGTCTGAGCAATGGCTCGCTGAAGGGCAGGAGTCCCTCGCTCTTTCTGCTACCCAGGCATGCTGTTGGATGCTCTCCAGGGGGCGGCGCCTCCAGGGGTCCTGTGCCAGCATTTTGGCCAGCAGGTCCCCGCCCTGGACTGTGAGGTAGGAGGTCAGGTGGACGTTCCCGCCCAGGACGCGCTCCCTGATCGCCCTGAGGCTTGGCACCCTGAAGGGCAGTATGCCGGTCACAATATGCCCAGGCTCCACACGTCCACCTTGGGGCCGTTGTACCACTGGCCAAGGTAGACCTCGGGGGCCCTGTGTTCTGGGTGACAGCAGCATGTGCTTAGTGCCTGGGGGAAGCCTTGGACGCTGAGCCAGAAGTCTGCCAGCTTGACTTTTCCTTCTCAGATCAGCACAACTTTCTCGGGGCCTCACATCCCGGTGTGCAATGCCCTTGGCATGGTAGTATCTGAGGGCCACGAGGATCTACTGAAAGAGCTGGCAGGCCACGCTCTCCTCCAGGTGCCCATGCTAGCTCAGAAAGTCCTGCAGGTCCTCCCCCTGCACGTACTCCATGACGAGGTGTAGCTTCGGCCCAGTGTCCACCACCTGGAAAAGCTCCACGATGTTCGGGTGATAAAGGGCCTTCATGCACCCCATCTCGCGGGCCAGGAGGCGGAGGTCGGGCAGCTCGGACTTGCGGACTTCCCTGATGAGCACCTTCATGCCCGTGAGCACGTGCAGCGCCAGCATAACCTTGGTGTGGGTTCCCTGCCCCAGCGCCCGCAGCGCCTGGTAGCTTTTTACTTTATGTCCCTGGGGACTGAGGCGATTGCACATAGCGCCTATGCACTTGGACTATGCCGACTACACTCACCAGCCCTGACTGTGCTCACAGCCCTTGTGCTACCTCCGCTGACAAATGACTCTCCTACGATATTAACAAATGTACTAGTATTAATAGTACTCAAAAAGTATTCACTAAACCTCACTAAATACTAACAATGCTAACTTAACTCAACCTGCAATACTAACTTCACTAACCTTACTAGCAATACTAACTACACTACAAATAAATAAAAATACACAATCAAAAAAATTACAAATGAGACAAAAATGTAAAAATATGATAACAATAAACCAATTACAAACTAACCACTAAATTGAAGAATAAAACAGAACAACAAAGACCAATAGAATAAACAACAGAACAAACCACAATTAGAAACTAAAAACTGGAAAAAACAAACAAACAAAAAACCAGAGAAACGACAAAGGGGAAGAAAGAACAAGCAATGAAACAAGAACAGAAGGGAAAATGGGGGAAATCATTCAAAAAATAAAATCAAAAAACTAAAAACTGACATAAAAAAGAAAAAAAAGCCAATAACAAAACAATAAAGGAAAATAAAAAACAAGGAAATAAAAGGAAAAAGAAAAAATAGAAAAAAGTGTAAGCAAATACAAAAAAAAAATCAAGGAAAATAATGTAAAAAACAAAGAAAGAAAAGTAAAATAACTAAAATAAATAGCCTAAACAAATAACTAAATAAGTAAAGCAATAAATAAACCCAAAGAAAACCAAATACCCCAAAACAGGCTCTCACTGTCTTTCTAGTCGTCCGGAGTGCACAGGTCACTGTCCAGAGCTTCCCGGCTCCTGAGGACACAGGCGCAGTCCGGGCGGGCCTGATGGAGGCGGTGCCGGTGCCGTCACAAGGGCTCTTTGTGGCGTCAGAGCCAGAGGCCACAGCCATTGGCAGAGGGAACCCCCAGCGGTTTCTCAGCTTTAAGGAAGAAGCTGCCACTTAACGACAACCCTTGGAATGCCCGAGAGGCCCTTTCATTTGCCCTGAGCAATCCCGTCCTGGGTTTTGGCTTTTCCAGGCGTCCCCATCCTGGCCCCGCCTTGTGCAGATGCTTTACTGTCGCGCTCACACTGTGGGGAGAACAGCAAACAGGGGGCGCAGGCGGTTGGGCGCGCGCTGGGGAGCTGTCCACAGCCTCTGCTGCGCCCGCGAGGGTCCACGTGGCGCGCAGACCCCTCCTGCCCCGCCCGCTGCTCCCCTCAGCAGTGGATTTCAGTCAGTCTGCCTGTTCTGTTCCAGGCTGTCTCTGGGGAATCCTCTCACCCTCCCGCGAATTTGGCTTTTACCACAGTTTTTGTATAAATAAAATAAATCTTGATTAAAAAAAGTGAATAGGGAGGAAAAGCGGCAGGTCCCAGTGAGAACTGGGACACGGAAGATAAACGGGTGATGCCAGCGAACTGCCTGAAGAAGAAACTGGCCATAAAAGAGGACTAGAAGGGAGGGAAGCGCAGAACCCTGCTCCCCTCCCCCGCCCACAGAGGCAGCACTCTCCGACCGGCAGAGAGGAGGAAACAACAAACCAAAACGGCCCACAAGAACAAACGACGCAGCAAGCGGGACCGTGAGTGGAAAGGAACTATTGCAGCCACCACACCCCGTGAACGGGAGCTGAGGCGAACCCTGCAGGATTCGCCGCGGCGGCGAGCGAACGGCTCCGGGCGCCATTAGAGAAGAACAAAGACCCCGGGAGATGCGCACACAGCCCGGGCTGCCGGTAAGCTGGCGCGGGAAAGCGACTCGCTCGGCGCGCTTGAAAAGCAAGTGCAGACCTGGATCGCGGCTGCCCAGGTCCCTGCGCCTGTGACCTAGGCTTGCGGGGAGACGACCTAGGCTTGCGGGGAGACGCGCGGAGGTCCTCACTGAGGTGACAGTACCTCCCTGAGTGAGCAGGAACCAGGCGCCCAGGCACGGGAGCGGTGCAAAAGGCGCCCTTCCCGCGCCACTGAACTGGGCTACAGCCCGCGTCCTGGAACTGAGGGCTTTGAACTGAGACCCGGGGCACGAAAATTTGGGGCGTGGTTTCTCCACGACGGTGGGGCACAAGGCAGACACAGCACCCCAAAGCTGTTGAGGTGTACCCTACCATTCCCGCTCTGTTCTCTGTCCCACGGGGTGGGGGGAGGCGAAAAACAGCCCCCCAAGGACAATAGGAGAGATCTCTGGCGCCACCTAGCGACCAGGAAAAAAAAAAGTCACTAACACCCTATAAAACAGGACATTTCTTAAGACTGCTTGAAAAGGGCAGAAGGTTTCTGGAGGACCCAGTGGCCAGCCGGGAAGTTATTCCACGCCAGGCCCCTTCCGACCAGCAGTCTGAGCCCACAGAGGGAGCAGGCACCCACGTCCGGGGCAGACCGGGTGCGCAGAAGAGTGTGCCTGAAACCGGAGGCGCAGGGACTGCATCCCGCTTCGCCATTTGAGAACAGGGACATTTCTTCAGTAAAAACTGCCTAAAACCAGCAGAAAGCTCCCCCAGAAGACAGAGATGGCTCCTGGAAGAGCCAGAGGGGAGCGGAGAAGTTCACCCAAGATGTCAGTCAGTCCGAGCAACACAGTGTCCCAACGCATACGACAAATTAGAAAACAGACAGTAGGGAGTAGAAGAACCACACGCAACCTAAAAACTCCTCAGGAAAGAAGCACACCACAAAAAGAAAACCACTCCCCAGATTGCAACGACAGCAACTTGGAAGAACTTCTGAGCCTTCCAGAAAGAGAATTTAAAATTGCCATGATTAAAAAAGTGATAGATCAGAAGAAGGAAATTGAGTCCCTAAAGAGGGAAGTAAGAGAAATGCAGGAGATCAAAGAATTAATGGAGGAACTAAAGAACTCTGGGAAAAGCAATGAAAGCAGAATAGATGAAATGGAAGAACGAATAAGTAATCTTGAAGACACAGAAATAAAAAGAACCAAAACAGAAAAGGAAAGAGAAGTACGAAGGAAAAAGAATGAAGAAAGACTTCAGGAACTATCTGACTCCATGAGGAAAGGAAATATAAGAGTTATAGGAATTCCAGAAGGAGAGGAGAGAGATGTAGGAACAGAGAAAATATTCATGGATATAATTGAAGAGAACTTCCCAAATGAGAAGAAGGAG